GAATACAGCCTTTTTATCCTTTAGTTGAAAGCTTGTAAAGATGGCCTTGTAACAAAAGTAATTATCTTTAAATTACTACTCTCAATGAGAATAAAGTGCAAAAATAAAAAGCCAAACAAACAACCAGACAACTATCCAAAATTCGAATTGGAAAGTGAAAAAGTCAGAACTCCAACACCAAAAGAATGTAATCCAAACAAGTGGAAACAAAATTTGAACCCAGATCAATTTAATGTAATATCATCAAGCCCAGATCATTTCCTAACAACCCCATAATTCAGATCTCAAAGGAGGCATACGCAGGAGCAAATATTAGCAAAACCCAAATCAAACCAGACAAATTAGCCATAGCCCACATTCAGAATCCACATTCCAACTTAAAATCAAACACATCCAAGACTGAAAACAAAACAGGCATGAAAAGTTAACAAACCCAAATTCAGAGACTAAGAACTAAGCCCAGAAATTGAACCAAAATTCCAGATCTCGACCAAGCACAAACCAAAGCTCAATACATACCCAAAGCCAATTGAAAAAAAATGAACAAAACCCATGAATGTTGTTCATACCTGAAGCGCAGACAAGTTCTCCTTATACAACTCCGAGATGGTATCGTTGAAATACTTGTCCCGAAACGTAGAGCAGACCTTGCTATCAATAAGGCAACTCTTGATCTTATTCCAGTTCTTGGTGCTGTTGACCCTCTTCTGCAGCCAGTGAGAATAGTCCCCAAGCCTGTACTCCTTGTACCCTTTCTCGGAAAGCACTTTGCCGGCGCCTTTGTTGGTGACGGCGAAGGCGAAGATGGTGAAAGCGAATAGGACGACGATGAGGAGGAACATGACGAGGAGGTAGACCCAGAGGAGCCACGAGACTCTGCAGCAGGCGCCGATGAGGCCGGCGAGCGAGACCAGCATGAGGAAAACGCCGAGAATGATGACGGGCTTGTCCAGAAACTTCTCGCACTCGGTGCTGCCTTGCTTGCTCAGCCACACTCCGGCTACGACGATCGGGATTGAGAGGAGGAAGGTGAGGAAGTTGAGAAGCCCGACGAGGTTATTGCTGATCTTCATTGTGAAAGGAGGCTAAAATCACAAAACCCAATTCACAAAAATCGAACTTGAGAGAGATGAAGAAGGGAAAAGGAGAATGAGGAATTGTTGTTGTGGGGATTGAG